TACTCTCCAAATTTCTTAACTTAAATTAATATTCTATTTTAGTTCTTTAATTAAAAAGATTATAAAAGTTAGTTTACTAAATGCAATTCGGTTGTTTTATTTGATCCTTTCAGTCAATTTCTGATTAAGTTCTTGTGATACAGATTATAAAAAGATTCAAAATTTAATATAATTAAATATTTATATTATAAAATAGAATTTTCAAATGTCATAAAGATATTCACAATAAAACTATATTAAATGAAAACTCTATTTTATAATATAATATTAAGTCACATGTAGATCTTAAAATTTATTATATATCTACAACATCAAAATTTTACAGTTGTTTTTCCTTCAAAATTGATCGAATGAATAAAATAATGAAATAAAATTAAGAAATTAACTTATAATATTTTTTAATTAACATATTAAAAAATAAAAGATATATTAAACCTTTATAAATTAATTATCATTGATAAATTATCCTCCATCATCTCACGTCAAAAAACATATCATATTATATAAAGTGGTTCTAACATACTAAATATGTATATAGTTCACTCTTTCTTTAAAACTGATTCCCTGCGGTCACCTCTCTCTATCTCTCTCTACAACTCTCAGGTGTTTGTTATTTTATTTTTTGAGATAAAGCTATCTAAGAGTGAAAATTTGATGAAAAACAAATTCAATGGTGGTTGAACTTTTGACTGCAGTAACTGTACCAATTATTCAACGTGGATCTTGGTTCAACTCCTTTACGTTTGAAGTCCTCGATGAGCTTTTTAATTAATAAAATACCTTTCAAAATTATAGGTCATATCTTAAGATTTTATTAAACTCACCGTTATAGTTAAATTTTAACGAATTGAATTAAAATTAGTATGGCTTTGTACGACTCGCACTATAAGAATGGAGTTCACGGTTGAAACTGAGTCTTAGCATATATTCAATCAACACAAACCATACCATAATGATGACTGATCGACATAAATCTTCACGTAGAGTGGCTGTTTGCCACGCGTCGTTAATATAAGCTCTTAATCATTCACACTATGTCGGTACACTATGTCGGTACACTATGTCGGTACAAGTATTTAACAAGATACCTCTCAAAACAGGTGTAAAAAGATCTTCACCAACTGCCACGTGTACACATACCAAAGTGTACCTAACTCTATATAATGGATAGAATTGATCATGCTCTTCAATATCAACATATCCTCTAAGAAAAAGAAATTCACGTTCTAAAAATCCGAGTGGTAGAATTCAAAAAATGGAGAAGACTAAAGAAACAGCTGCTAACATTGGTGCTTCAGCCAAATCTGGTTTGGAGAAGACCAAAGCCAACGTTCAAGAAAAGACTGACAAGTTGACGGCACATAGTCCGTTGGAAAAGGAGATGGCAACACAGAAGAAGAATGCAAAGGTTGCCCAGGCTGAGCTGAATAAGCAGGCGGCGCGTGCTCAGAATGCTGCGGCAACCGCCGGAAACAACTTGGGGGTGGGTGGACACCACACCACTTGAACTGGTGGGAATCCAAATGCCACCGGTTATAAAACTCGCGGTATTCACCGTTAAGTAATTATGGATCACCGTAATAAATAAAAGAAGGTTATTAATTTGAATGTTTGTTTTCTTTTGAGTTTGATTTATTTTATTTGTTTCTTTTTTGCTTAAATGAAACTTTAGTGTCTCTGTTGAATTCAAATGTCACCGGATATAGAACTGACTGTACTCACTGTTAAGTAATTATGAATTACTGTAATAAACAAAAGAATGTTGTTAACTTGTTTGTTTACTTTTGATTTTGGCTCATTTTTTTTCTTTTTTCTGTGTTACAGTTACCAAGTATAGAATTGACTTTTATTTTTCTGTGTTACAGTTACCGAGTATAGAATTGACAGTACTCACCATTAAGTAATTATGAATCACTATTGATGCTCTTTTCAATCTGGGGTGTGTTCGGCTTACTTCATTTTTTTTTATACTTTTCTTTCTCTGTTTTACAGTTTTTTAATTTTTTTTTTACATTTATATATTAGCTCATATGAGTCATTAATATATAAACATTACTTTTTATTTTATTCCAACCGATGTAAGACTATTTGAATATACAATATAGAAGAGATTGAATCCACCTCTCTCTTTAAATTCTTAACTAATCATCATTCATACCAAACAAACACTAACTATATGAGTAGAGTAAAATTGCTTGCAACTTAAAACACAAATTAAAGAAAATAAGTAGAAACAAGCACAACAATATAAATTAAGAAGAAATGAATCTTAACAATGGCCAAAAAAACAATTGCTTTGAATATTTATGAATCAACTGGAAAATTTTACGTAGTACTGATTATTATAGAAAGAAGCACAATGATGTGTAAGAAAAATTTATATACAACATAACTCGGCTCTAACTAAGCCTAAGTAACTAAATAATTAATATCTTTAATATCTTCCCAACTGACAATCCTTGCAGTCCTCTCCATCTCCAAAATAGTTTTACCTCATCCTCAGGTGAACTACTTTGTCATTGATGAGAAAATTTCAGAGGACTTCCATAATATATCAAAACTTGACAAGAAACTCTCGTCGTCGTCATGTAATACAAATCGTTTTGAAACTACACCTCAACTACTAAGATTGCATCGAATTTATATGATTTTATTGTCAACTTAGGAACACATTACTATGTAGATTTCACATATCCTTGAACTAATCTTGCATGATGAACTATTTCACATATCCTTGAACTAATCTTGCATGATGAACCATGTTAAAAATTTGATATAAAACCACTAATGTGTCTTTACCTAACCGTTTAAGCTTTTGGGATAGTTGAAACTTGAAACATACATTTATATTGATTAGAAGAAGAAAATATTACTTTAAAGTATTCTCGTTCATGGACAGATTTTCCAGATATAATAAAATTAGAATGGTTTTTGAAGACATGAAAAAAATAACGTTTATCACACCTTAGAAAATATTCTGTTACAGAGTGATGCTCTTCGAGTTGAAGAACGTTGGTGCAACGTACCAAAGGACTATGACAACCTTATTCTATGATCTGATGTACAAGGAAATTGAGGTATATGTTGATGATATGATTGCTAAGTCCCAGACTGAAAAAGGGCATATAAAAGATTTGTTGAAATTGTTTCAGCGCTTGAGGAAGTATCGTCTCCGTTTGAATCCAAATAAATGTATCTTTGGTATTCGATCAAGGAAATTGTTAGGTTTCGTTGTCACCTAAAAAAGAATTGAAGTTGATCATGATAAAGTCAAAGCAATTCAAGAAATACCAGCACCAAGAACTGAAAAAGCAAGTTAGAGGCTTCCTCGGGCGTTTAAAGTACATTTCCAGATTTATCTCCCACATGACCGCAACACGTGAGTCGATCTTTAAGTTTTTAAAAAAAGATCAAGGTTGTTTGTGGACAGATGACTGTCAAAGGAAATTTGGAAGTATTAAAAAGTATTTGCTTGAACTTCCTATCTTGCTCCCTCCTGCTGAAGGAAGACCATTGATTATGTATCTGACAGTGTTAGATAATTTTATGGGCTGTATTTTGGGACAACAAGATGAAACAGGGAAGAAGGAACATGCCATTTGTTATCTCAGCAAGAAGTTTACAGACTGTGAGTCACAGTATTCTATGCTGGAAAAAATATGTTGTGTTTTGGCCTGAGTGGCAAAGTGATTGCGGCAATATATGTTGAATCATACTACTTAGTTGATTTTCAAAATGGATTCAATTAAGGATTTTTTTAAAAGCCTGCTCTTACTAGGCGAATTGTCTGTTGAAAGATGCTTAGGGAAGGTTACTATTGGATGACAATGGAATCTGACTGTTACAAATTTTCAAAGAAGTGTCATAAGTGTCATATTTATGCTGACAAAACTCATGTTCCTATGACGCTTCTCAATGTTATTTCTTCACCGTGGCCTTTTTCTATGTGGGGTATTGACATGATTAAAATGATTGAACCCAAGGCGTCGAATGGACATTGTTTTATCTTGGTGAAAATAGACTACTTCACCAAATGGGTGGAAGCAGCATCATATGCTAATGTTACTAAGCAGGTGGTGGTACGCTTCATCAAGAATAATCTTATATGTCGGTATGGTATGCCCAACAAGATTATCACTGACAGCGGCTCAAATCTGAATAACAAGATGATGACAGAACTTTGTGAAGAATTCAAGATTTTCCGTCATAATTCATCTCCTTACAAGTCAAAGATGAATGGGGCTGTTGAAGCTGCTAATAAAAATATTAAGAAGATCATCCAGAAAATGGTTGTTACTTATAAAGATTGGCATGAAATACTCCCTTTTTCTTTGCACGAATATCAGACATTTGTCTGCACTTCAACAGGGGAAACCTCGTTCTCTCTTGTATATGGTATGGAAGCAGTGCTCCCTGTTGAGGTTCAAATTCCCTCTTTGCGTGTGACAATGGAAACCAAGTTGTCAGATGCTGAATGGGTCCAGAACAGGTTTGACCAATTAAATTTGATTGAAGAAAAAAGAATGAGAGTCTTGTGTCATGGTCAGTTGTACTAAAATAGAATGAAGAAAGTTTTTGATAAGAAGGTCTGCAATACTCCAATTCTACCCCAAGCAATTATGCAATTAAATCAGAGTATAAAATTTCATCCATACAAATGAATCGGGACGTCACAAATTCTTCTAATAAATTCATTGCATTCATCATGAATATATAACACTTTTCAAAATGTCGGATGAACTAACAACATAACATCTTTCATTAAATGATTCAACAACTACGCATCGGAATTCTTCAATAACATCTTTAAATAAAATAGCAACTTCGAAACATCTCATATTTAGTAAATAAAAAATTTAAAGTTCAACAACTAAAAATCAACAATCAAAAATCAGCAAGCGTTCATCCCTCCGAGTGTTACATATTAGAGCAATGACACCGAATCGATCTATTGAAGGTATACAACCTTCACTCGCGATTACCTGCACGTTACCAACATAAGGGCAACATTCAAACAGAAGGGGTGAGATATCTAACAATATAATAAAGCGCATCATAATTAATATATTAAATTAGATCAATAATATCACCACTTCTCATCTCATAATCAACAACAATTACAACATATATACTCATTCATCAACATCAAATACACTTCATTATTCAATCATAAAATGCAACTCAAAATTATGCAAATGCATGTGGTACCATTGGAGCAGATCTCCCATCTCAAAAATCTAATCTGCCAATTATTAGAGGCATCAATAAGACATAGCCTTCATCTCAAAATTTGCCAATCCAGGCCATCTCAACGAGCATAAGCTCCATCTAAAAAAATGTAATGTATGCGACTCAACATGAATGTAATAACACACTCAGTTAACAACATCTCAAAACACATCTCAAAACAACAACATCTCAATCATCTCAAAACGACAACATTTCAGTCATCTCAAACAACAACATCTCAATCATCAAAATGACAACATTTCAGTCATCTCAAACAACAACATCTCATAAACATCTCAGAACAACAACATCTCATAAACATCTCAGAACAACAACATCTCATAAACATCTCAAAATAATTTAGTAAACATTACTTATTTATCAAACATCATTTGATTAACCACATCTTACTAATAACTCAACTGTATATCAATAATACAGTAATCCATATTGTTATTCTGCTACTGCACATCATTATTATCACTAAATCCTACTGTCATAATTCTAACATCAGCCTCTAACATCTCACATTCATCAACCTGTCCTAAAAACAACACAATGGTCATCTACGGAAATTAATTCTAAATCCTAAATTGGTTACTGGGATTACACCTCTTAATCATCATTTTAATTCTCTAGAATAGAGTTCATCGCGTTAGCTAATCAACGCTTCGAACGACATCTCAAACAACATCCTAAAACTCAAGTTACAGCAATTAAAAGTCAATTCTGTCAAAAATCCAGCATTATGTATCGACACAAAACTCCTTGGATCGACACATCCTGCTTCATATGCATAGTATGAGTCGACGCATACTCCTTATGGATCGACTCATCCTGCTTCAAATCCCAGCATGTATCGACATATGCACTCTTCGTGTCGGCTCATCCTGAGTCTTGTACTCATCATGCATCGACACATCTTCTCTTCGCGTCGACTCATCCTGAGTCTTATACTTAACATGCATCGACGCAAGCCCTACATGCATCGACTCATCCAGTTTGAGGTCGATGCATCCTGCGATTTTCTGCATAATTTTCTGCGTTTCTACTATAATTTCACTACTGGAATCTAATTACAGTCCTACAAACCTCATCCTAACCATGGTAATTCATAACTTAACATTAATTTATAATACAACATCGATTACACATCATCATAACATCATTTATCCATCGAGAATTCATCAATATTCATCATACATCATTCAATTCAATAACAAAAACAACAATCCTCTAATCCCACATATCAAACATCATGAACCCAATTATAAAGCC